TACAATATACTTGTAATATACAGCACTGTTATATTGCCTATTGCCCCCAGTGTGTTGAAGACCTACTGCAGCAGCCGCCCCACACTGTTGAAGTTCCTTCTGGGAGTTCCCTTCACACTATCGGCAGAATAGCTCAGTTGGATACCTTCGGGTTAGAGCATCTCACATGAAATGAGAAGGTCCTGGGTTCAATCCCTGGTTCAGCCATTTTCCCAACACACACACCGCCCACAGAAGCGAGGACCAGCAGCGCCGGCGGCAACACCACCGCTGTTAAGCCAAACACTCTGGGAACGTACGACACTGAAGCCGCCTGATAAGCTGATGCTGGCAACAATGCTGAAGCTGGCTGCAACACCACAGTGCTCGAAAGCCGTGCACCCACGTGCCTGCGCTGACACCAAAGTTCTCTCCGACTTTGAGTTTGTGCACGTGTTCAACACGCTCCCCACCCTGCCCACGAGTGACGTCTAGAAGCTCAAACTGCTGGACCTCAAAGCCCAGCACCCCATCAAGCCTGACACACTGCTCATCAAAGGTGCAGCACCAATGACCAACGTTGACAAACTGTACTGGCGAGAGCTCACCTACCCTTTCCACACCAGCTTGGTAAGTTCGCCACCCGCCTGCTTGCATGCATCCTTCTCACCCCTCTTCCAAGGTATTCAATCATGAGATGCTCAAGCACATCCTTGACACACAGAAGCTCATCAACGGCGTCCCCCTTGCACCTGCTCTCAATGCCCTTCACCACCCCCTCCCAAGCGAAGGCCTCCCAGTGCCACCAGGCTGGCAGTGCTTCCCCCTGCCCCCTGCACTCTGATTGACATCTCGTCTGTTTACCAGAACGTTCACCTCCTCAGAGCACGTGCTGATGCACACCCAGTTTGGGCATTGGTGCCTCTGGCCCTCACCCCTCACTCTGATGTCTGTTGGGGCATCGCCACGACCCAGTACGCAAAGATGGATGGGCACCAGCACCAGGACACCATGCCCACCGCTATGGTGCCTATCATGGGCTGGAAGTTTGTGTTCATCAGAGCGCCTCAGGAAAACCTGCCCTCAGATCACCGAGACTTTGGCTCACGCCACTTCCTCAAAGACTGGAGGGCCTCAGTGTTGAACTATGGTGCTTGGTTTGGACAATCACATGACTCCTTATTGTGTTGATACAGATCTTATTGTGGCAATATTCATCTTTCATCTTATTGTTCTTATTGTCTTCACTGATATTGATCTTCTCCTTATGTGTTCTTATTTTCTTATTGTCTTTACCCACTCTATTGTTCTTGTACCTATATAGGTAGCTACTCCTGCAATGGATCTGGGCTTTTTGCCTCCCATCTGAGACCCATCTGAGACCCATCCAGCCTTTTTGGCTTCCATCTGAGCTTCCACAATCAACACTCAGGGCACAACACTGACTTGTTCCGGTACAAGGTGGTGTTGGTAGGCCCCAACATGGCACTGTACGTACCGCTTTTCCCTCCCCTCCCCTCCCCTCAAGTTCTCTGCTCATGTCAAATGCCAGGTACCTGCGGGGCACCACCCAGCATGTTGTGATCTCCCTCAACGACTGGGTGTGGCTGGGTCTACATGCCCACAGTGCTGCGTCCATTGGGCCCTCTGTGCAGCTGTCAATCCACAACGTGCTCTCTGCCTCCACCGCCCCCTCCACCCCACTGACCTCCCCTGTACCTGGCACTCAATGTCAACAGGTACTTTCAGGCTCCTACGATGGAAGCCCCTCTCAGAGTGCTGCTCCTGATGTTGTGGCAGCAATACCAGGAGCTGGAGGCGGTCTGGAGACTCTCACGAGCTTTGTGATGCCCTGGAACCAGGTTTCACCCCAATGACATGGACCTCGTCATTTTTGCAGATGTTGCGGAGGTATGGCCCCTCTCTCATTCGTGTCTGCAAAGTCTCGCTCACCCCTTTCCTTCTAGGAAGCTGTGCTGCACATGGCCTGCTTGCTTTCCCGATACAGGTGTGCTTTCCTCGCCAAAAACACCACCTCAAAGTGCTCACTGTACAGGTTTACACCAGAAGCACTTGACCAGCAGCTCCACCGTGCACTCACTGCGTATGAATGCTACAACGCTGATGGCAATGTAGAAGCCTTCAAAGATGGCAACTCCATTCTTGTCGCTGACTTGGATCGCATAGCAGGTATGGAGCACCATTTGTACTCATGCTTGGGCCAGAAGAAGATCAGAGGATAGACCCCACATGTTTCCTTGGTGTTCTTTGGTCTCATGATCATTTTCGTTGATTTTTTGTACACTTGTAATCACCACGCCTGAAACTAGTTTTTTCTTTCTTTACTTTTTTTGCGCTTGCACACAAGTCACGCTGTTTCAGTCGAGGGGGTTCTGAAAAAAAATAATCATACCTTATGCCATTTTTTTGGAAAAAAATACCTTCTCAGGGGACCTACCTACCAAGTGACATCCAAATCAAGTAATATCTCACGTGTGTGCCCCCCCCCGGGATGATCCCACAGGTTCAACAAGTAGTTTATGGAACCTCCAAAATCAATAGGATATTTATGGAATATTTAGTCTAAGTTGGACCTCTACATGGCTGAATATCGCTTTTCATAAGGTTCATGTATTGGGGCCTCATGTTTGCACCCAAAACTTGCCTCCAGCTCATTGTGAAAGGGGAGATTAAAATGGAGGGTGCTCAGTGTGTGTTCAGTAGATAAAGTGTTGGAATCAGTGGTTGGACTATACCATTCTCACACTTTGACATTGATCTGATAGCTATCTTATTGTGTTGATACAGATCCTATTGTTCTGATACTTATCTTATTGTTGTGATACAGATCTTATTGTCTTGATACACATCTTATTGTTCTATTGTTCTTATTGTTCTACTGTTGCTATTATTCTAGCACATATATAAGTAGGCTAGTGTAGACCTGAGTCCTCAGTTTCTCACTGTTGACTTCAGGCAAGTAGCTAGTCCACATTCTCTCACTCATGAATTGAGTTTCTCACTGTTGACTTCAGTCCATTGTGCTTGCCTGTTTAACAGGTTATGGGCCCTGGCCTTTGATTGTCTATCATCTGAGATTCTCCTCCTTCCTCCTGCCCCTCCGCATTTTTGCGATCCTTCTGCCCTTATAGTGTGTGTGTGCTCTTTGTAGATAGGAGCACCAACTGTTGGGACAAGTCCTCTTTGAGGAACAGTCTTTGATCCACCAGAAAATATCCAGGTAGTCATCCCTGTGATTCTGGGGTTAGGGCCTAAGTGCCTGGGTGTTCAGTAGTCTTACACTTTTTCTTAGCTACTTTTGCTACATCCAGGGACTCTTTCATTACCTACCTCTTCTTCACACACACACTCTCCAGGGCATCGTTGCATTGTGCCGGACACAGACACCCTTTCCAGACCTGTCCTCTCCAAGGAGACTTCGGAGTGGAAGAGTGATGCTGAAGCCTACTTGCGTTGAAAGGAGGTCTTTGGCTGCTGTACCGATACAAAGATGCATCGGCCAAAGAGAAGTGTGCTGGCATTCTGTGGGGCATGTTGTCTGCAGATGTCAAAGAGAACCTCATGAGCTTTATTACAAGTGGAAGCCTGATGTGTCCGACCTTCAGGTGTGGGGCTGCCTTGCCTATGTGCATGTGCAGTGTGATAAGAGGGATGCCTCAGGGTGCCATTTCCAGAGGTGCATCTTTATGGGCTATCCTACGGAGTACAAGGGATGGTCCTTTTATAATCCTATGACCCAAGATGGTCATTGCAGAGCATGCTGTCTTTGACGAGTGCTACTTTCCTGGGAACAAGCCTCAACTGATGAGGCTCTGTCCAAAAGATCCGCCATCTCCATTCATCAATCTCCCCCTGCTGTGGCCAAGCCATTGTCTGTGCCTTATGATGATGATGATGATGATGGTTCTGGTGTTCATCCAGCACTTCCTGCAGCAATTCCCAATCCTCCATCTCCACCTGCCTCCGAGCCGTCTACCCGCCCTGTTAAACAGGCAAGCACAATGGACTGAAGTCAACAGTGAGAAACTGAGGACTCAGGTCTACACTAGCCTACTTAGATGTGCTAGAACAATAGCAACAGTAGAACAATAAGAACAATAGAACAATAAGATGTGTATCAACACAATAAGATCTGTATCACAACAATAAGATATGTATCACAACAATAAGATCTGTATCAACACAATAAGATAGCTATCAGATCAATATCAAAGTGTGAGAATGGTATAGTCCAACCACTGATTCCAACATCAGGTAGGCAGAGGAGAAGTCAATGGAACGAAGCTTGAGATCGTGCTGAGCAGCAAGAGCCAGGATGGTGCGGAGGGTAGCAGATTTGAAGGTGGGGGAGAATATTCGTTGTAATCAATGCCATGGCGCTGGCCACGACCGTCAGCAACAAGTCGGGCTTTGTAACGCTCAATAGGGCCATCGGACCTGTGCTTGATCACAACAACCCACTGAGAGTGAATTGGCTTGACACCAGGAGGTGCATCCACAACATCCCAAGTGCAGTTCTCCAAAAGAGAGTTGATTTCGGAGACTGCTGCATCCTGCCAAAGATGTGCATCTGCACGCCGGAGTGCCTCATGATAGGAGTGAGGATTGCCCGACTGTACAGCAGATTGTGCAAACTGCACAGAAGCAACATTGGCTTTCTGCAGTTTACGACTGGCTGGATTGCCCTGATGCACCACAATAAGAACACTGCCTGGTTTCAGAAGCAACTCATCATCACTCTCTGAATCAGAAGTCACAGCAGCAGGAGGATCTCTGTGGCCCTTGTAGGCTGGAGAATCTTTAGGCAGCTTCCACCACTCCCCCGCAGTTCGATGCTCTGTGGCTTGTCCATGGTAGCAGCAACTCAAAGTCATTGAAGTCCTCTAACCAGGCAGACTACAAGTTGACCTAGGGAAAGTGGTGCCACCCTATGTGTGTTCCCAGTGTTTGGGAACCAGGGCAGTGTTGAAGTTCCTTCTGGGAGTTCCCTTCACACTATCAGCAGAATAGCTCAGTTGGATACCTTTGGGTTTAGAGCATCTCACATGAAATGAGAAGGTCTCGGGTTCAATCCCTGGTTCAGCCATTATTCCCAACACGCCCTCCTTCGCCTGCTCCAGCTCCTGAGCAACCTCCTTCACCCCAGCAGCAGTCACCTCCTCTGAAGTTCTTTCTGGGAGTTGGTTCCCTTCACACTATCGGCAGAATAGCTCAGTTGGATACCTTTGGGTTAGAGCATCTCACATGAAATGAGAAGGTCCCGGGTTCAATCCCCGGTTCAGCCATTTTCCCAACAGCTTTGGGGTCAAAGCTATAGATGTCGCTGGTCTCCATGTAACTTGGAGATGGGCTCAAGGAAGGGCTCGGTTGCCAGATATTTCTCTTTGTTCATGGTGAGGAGATGCTCGTCGTTCAAGATGTCAGACACATATGCTGAGATGAATAAGAACAGAAGCAGGAATTATGAGTGAGGCAAATACCGAGTGCATTTTTATGTTCAGCATGTGTACTGTCCTTCATGATTTGCTCCGCTTGTTTCACTGTCGTGCGAACTAATTCGTCTTCAAAGAAATTTTGGATTGCCATGTACGGTTCAAATTTGCCGAGAGCCACTCTGAAAATGAGCGACCACCACTTGCGCTCCAAGCGGGTGAGTAGATGGGACTGGTTCAGCCGATGTTCGCTCCCAGATGCTTGCCAAACCTGAGCAGCCTATATGGTGAGTGCGCGACAGGAGAAAAGAAAAAATTCTCCTGGAGAAGAGATAATGGGTTTCACGTAGCAGACTGAAAGCTGGTATCCTTTCACAGGAGGAAAAGTGGAGTGTGTGCTGCTGCAGCCAGAAGCGGGCCGAAAATCACATTCAAGTTGAATTTTGGATTCTTAAATTCTTTCAATCTGAGCCTTCGACAACTGGATACCACAGTGTTTGGCGTCGCTAATACCATGTGAGCAGCAGCTGGAGATAGTGGTATATGCTTATGCAAAGAAGTATTCTGTGAGGCTTGCTGCATCAAAGTTCATATTTCCCTGGAATCATCAACGTAAATCCTAGAGCTATATTATGAAATGAACAACATAGGTATAAGAAAAATCCTAGAACAAAGGCAGCCTGCCGAATATTTGCAGTACCCTGGTACTCTTCAGCAGAAGCGGCAGAGTTCAAGCGGGACAGGAAGCCAAGATATTCACCAGACTTCCCAGTCAGCTTGGCTTTGGGAGCTTTGGTTTTTCCCTGTCGAGAGCAATGTTGCTGGAACGTGTTGTGCATGTCCTGGAGGAGATGGACCCAGGACGAGTGGGAGGATATGAGAGCGACCTCAAGTTCCTTGCGGTGGATGGGACGGGCTGAAGCCCAGGTGATAGTGGGGCAGGCTTTCCAATGTCCACCAAGTGAAGTAATAGATTGAAAGTGATGACGGGGGGAAGGTGAAGTAGGAGGTATGGTCGTACAGAGGGTGTTGGAAAAACTGCTGGAGAGCTGGACAGTTGGCTATGAAGATTTGCAATGTCAATATAATACTTTTGAATGAATGGCTTGAGGCTCGCTTCGTTAATTTTTTTTATAAATGCGAGGTATTTTTCGATGTCTGTTGAAGAAAAAGACTGGTATGGGGTTAGGGTTGGGATGTAGGCCAGGGACCAGGGTACGCACCATGGGTATGCCAGGAGCAATGAGCTTTTGGAGAGTTGCATTTTCAGGTGGGGACTTTGTATAGGAGTGCAGCCACGACCCATGGGTCACCAAGAGGAGAGCGGTATCTGCAGTGATCATGATGGTAGACGGCCAAGGGGGAAAAGGGCACGTGACAGTCGCTCTGACTGTGTTAGTCAGCATTGTGGCAAAATAAGGTGCAGAGTTTGAATTTGGAATGGCACCAAGCCAGCACTGAAGCTGGTGGTCCTTTTTTTTTTGCACAATTAACAGTGGCATGTGTTCTCTGTCGGGATGACTACATATTCAATTTATGGTGATCGGAAGATGAGGGTCTCCCGGTAATCCTGGGAAAAGTGACTGAAGTTTTGCGTCTCCAGGGAGGCCTGGCAGGTTTAGGATTGTATGAACAGAGAAAAAATTTGATTGTATGAATGGCGGAAAGATCATTCCAAAGTTCACATCATTTTATGCATCACCTACTTATCACTGATGCATGCTACATAGGGAATTAATTGCCTCACAAGGGTGCATGCATCTGCTAGCAGATGTGGCTGTAATGTGTCTCATTGACCAGTAGACCGTACAGGATTTCTTTGGCATCAACATCGAGGAGAGATCAATGACCTCGCAACATTTGAACTCAAAGTCCGGTCTTGTTGGGCCTTGAAATTGCACGCGTTGGAGCATGTGATTTCCTCTTTTTTTTACGTCGCGCCCATAGACTTGGTCTTTTTGGTTGACCAATCCAACTCTGCAGACCAGACAGCGTTGAAGGCAATTGAGGGTCCTGGTAGCCACCTTCATGATCAAGTATTGCAATGCAGACTAGAGGGACAGACCTCGAACTTTGGCATGCTAAATGTGTTCGAGCACAGATATAGTTGCAACTCTATGTCTATCTCTTCTGTATTTGGATTCTCGCTCAAACTTGATTGTGAGTGTTTGAGGCCCCGAATAAGAACACCTTTTGCGGTTGGTCTATTCATGTATGTGATCTGGAAATACTGGCTGCTTCTGTGGGTGTACATTGCTTCACTCCCTCTTCAGATCTGGCAGGCGATAGTGGGGATTTAATATAAAAAAGGTCTCTAATTAGAGACACAGATTGCTAAGAAAGAACAACTGTCAAGAAGATACCACTGCACCACACTGCTGATAGAGACACTGTCATTCGAGTCACCCCGTGGCATAGCTGATACCCAGACCTTTGTAATGGTTTTACACAGCTTATTATGTGTAATTCCTTGGTGCAGTACTTTGACTGCAGAATATTTCAGTATTTGCAATAGTTCATATGGGCTGTGTGTGAATGGCAGATTCTCGGAGTGACCCAATTCCGAAGGTCAAAATATGGAAGTAAGTATGTGTCTGAGTCTCATAATTGTATCCGACAAGATATTCAAATTTATAAAAGCAACAGGTAAATTTCGATAAACCAGCATATTATTGGTTATATGGCAATAATTTGAGTAAGCTGTCTGCCGCCAAGTGTGCTACAATTGTTATATAAGTAATACACGTCGGTCTTTGTTGTGTCATATTTATGAGTTAGTTTGGGACAATGGAATACAGTCAGAAGGGTAGAATCTGACTGTCCTATTGACCTGTACATAACTGTAATGTGCTGACTGAAACTTGAGAACAAAAACAGGTATAGATAGTTATTTTTCTGCGGGCGCAGGGGCGCAGCGAATGGCAAAACCTAAACCCCAGGGTGAACAGCAGGTGTGAGTGGACGAGGTTGGAATGCATATGGATCACGAGACCATGTTGGTTAAGACCCAGTGCACACCATCGAGCTGGCAGATGGTATCGGCACCATAGCCTGTAGGACTGCCCAGGCCGTGGTTGAGGCAGGCTTTGTTAAACAGGCAAGCACAATGGACTGAAGTCAACAGTGAGAAACTCTATTCATGAGTGAGAGAATGTGGACTAGCTACTTGCCTGAAGTCAACAGTGAGAAACTGAAGACCCAGGTTGATACTAGCCTACTTATATATGTTTAAGATGTACAGCCTAGAAGCAGTGCATACAGCAGTAAGGCTGTAAGAGCACAACAGCACAACAGCAGTAAGGCTGTGTGCATAGGAATATACAGCAGTAAGGCTGTGTTGATAAGAATGCATACAGCAGTATGGCTGTGTGCACAGGAATAACTACAGCATTGAAATAAGTCCATTAAGTAACTAACTAAAGGTGCGAGAATGTCACAGTCCAATCACTGATTCCAACACTTATATATATATGTGCTAGAACAATAGCAACAGTAGAACAATAAGAACAATAGAACAATAAGATGTGTATCAAGACAATAAGATCTGTATCACAACAATAAGATAAGTATCAGAACAATAGGATCTGTATCAACACAATAAGATAGCTATCAGATGAATATCAAAGTGCGAGAATGGCGCAGTCCAACCACTGATTCCAACAGGCTTTGCTGACCACCTTCAATGCGTGATTTTCCATGGGCGGCAGTGTTACCTTGGCCTCACAGTTTGGGCACATTTAGGGTGGGCCATAATTGAATATGGGCAGCAACTCATGCTGGTGTGTCGTCAGATACCCCCTAGTCCGGTCCACGATGTCCCATGCTGGTTGGTGTTGTAGTGTAGGGTTGACTGCAGCAAAGTCGGTCTTGATGGTGGCTGGAACGGAAAAAAACAGCAATCAGTGAATGCGAAGTGGTTGCACTAGGCAGGGAGTGCAGAAAGAATGGCCGCAATCAGTGAGCCTGTCGACAGCGTCAGCAGAGGTGGAGAAGGTGGAATTAAGGTAGACAAACACTAGCTGGGTGTGTGGAACTGCAAAGCAGATGCTGCAGGTGACCATGCCGGAGATCGTCTGTTGAATGGGCATTGAGAACGAACAGGGGAGGGACTGCCCATATGCTCACAGCAAGTGTGATCTTGTGGGCATGGATCGTGGCTTGAGCAGCCTGGAGCTGGATGTGCAGCTTGTGTTCTGCCACCACGGCTGAGCCCACTTCCCATGCCTGCTCGTCATCCAAGTTGTCGTGCAAGTCAAAATTGGTGCGCGGGTGGCAGGCCTTGTCCCCAATCATCAATGGGGTTCATATCACAGGTGTCATATGAGACCATGAATGTGTGGGGATCATTATTTCCTGCCAAGCTTTCCACAAAAGGAAGCTGAACGCCCACATCCAAATTAGCATATCTACTAAATACCGTATCTCTGTCTAGTACAAGAGTGAGAATGACCGAGGTTGGAATCACACACGAGCCCAGATTGATACAGAAAAGCAAGGATTCAATTGGTTGCATACTGGTTGTTTAATATGTACATTGACCGAGGGGTACTACAGAGGAGTCATCCTGCACTCCTGCCACAGCACCTTGTGCGTGAAGTGGGCAATGCACATGCACTGGCCGCCAGAGAAGGCCTCGACCTCATGGGAAAGGATG